TTAAATATTTGATCGTAGATTCATCAAATATTTCATATAAAATGTATGTGCCTACAGAAGTCTGAATTAAAATAGTTTTACTAGTGACTAATTTCAAGTCAGCTACCATTGTGAAACGAAAGTTGAAGATCGAGTTCGATTAAAAAAAAAACATGTCAAGTAAATCCTGTATTACAGTATACCTTAAAAGTCTCATACCACTTTTTGGTGTTAGGTCGTGTATTTAAACTAGATAATATTTATTTGATTCGACTGTATACCTGTATAGTAGAGGTTGAGTACTATATATATATATATAGAAACCTGTTTCATATGATATAGCCTTGAATATGAAATATAATAAAAAGAAAAATGATATTATTATTACAAAGGATCCTGTCGGATCAGGTCATCTATTCTGAATTCAGCAACTCAATGTACCACGTTATAAAGCAAGCCAAAGCACGTTGAAAGTGTGGTTTAAAAGTAGATCTATACCGCGCTATCATCCTTTCTGAATTCTGAATAAATGACATAATGCTACAGAATCCTTTAGAACGACAATATTATTTTGTCTTTTTTCTTCTCACTGAAGTTTGTTTTTTTTGTGAAATACAGTCTAAAAGGAGTATTTAAGTATAAAGTGGTAGAAATTTGGACTTCTTCCTACAGACCATGACAAACGTTTTTGATACATTATTAACTATCAAATATCGTTGACATCTGATGAGGATATATAAATTGCTTCCTTGTTGAAGTTCTAGTTGATGGAGCAAAAGAAGATGAAAAAATGAGTCCGAAGATAGATCGAATAAAACAATACTCGCATAATTCATAATAACAGCTAAATCGTGTTTCACATTTTAATTCCGTAGAGATTGCATTGACTTCTTTTTTGTATTGTATGTCATCACTACTCAAAATAAAAACGGGGTATGAAGCTTTTGAGGTTCACAGTAGAATCACATTTCAGCGATTTTATGAAACTGCTAAAGTCGAAAAACAATCACATTCTACAAAACTTGACATCAATTACTGAAGAAAAGTTAATAAAGTTAATCATGTATGCAGAAATGAGCCAGGACCAAGTATTCGGTCTATTACACACACTTGCTCATATAACAATATACTGGATTATAACAAAACATCTCTTATAAAAGAACAATTTGTTCAACAATTCTACAAAAGAATAGATTACATTGACCGAATACTTGATTATGACTCATTTTTACAAATGTCATTATTTTCATCGATTTTTTCTTCAATAATTATTCTACAATCGTCCAAAAGACCATCGATTTTCAGCTGTACTGGTTTCGAAAAATTGCTGAAGTTTATCACTAATGCAATATTTATTTGGCGTTTTTTTTGTCTCAACTCAATTTTTGTAGTTATCCTTTTACAATGCTGACTTATTCAAATTTGACCATGCAATAGAACTGTTTTAACTCGAAGTTCTGTAGACATAAATATTTGTTTTTTGTTCGAACTTTTCAAACATCCTGTATTTCATCTCTTGTTTTCACTCTTACCCAACTGTGTTCAACATTAATGCCAACCTAATGAGACAAAAAAAAGACGAAGCAAGTTTAAAGTTTCTTTTTTTCTTCTCATCATTTTACATACCACAGCATTTTTGCTAATAATAAAATTAAGTGATTTATCAAACCAACGATTATAGGCTTTTCCATGAAGAATAGAACGTGCATAAGCATCAAATTTTTCTGTCATATCCTAAAGAAAAATAAATAATAATTATCATACACATATATATATATATATTAGATGTCTTAGTTAGTAGACACAAGTACAACGATTAGAGATTAAAATATAAGCGAGATAAGATAACATTGATATAAAGATTTATAACCTCATGATTTAATGATGATAATGATCGATCACTTTGTAACTAAATTAATTCAATATCTTAAGATGTATTTTTTTTTAATAAAAAAATAATTGAACAAACTTACGACTCCTATATCATATTCTTCATCATCCAAAATTAGTACAAATGCTGATTTTTCAATAGCGTCTAATGATGAACGATTAACACCAGTTGAAAAATATTTTTGACGTGCTTCAGCCCATAATGTACGTTCACCAGCTGTTAATGCTCCTAAATGTTCTTCACCATACTCTGGTAATGTTGCATCCCTAACAATTGCATCTAATTGACTAAAATGAAATTTTAAAGAATAATATAAAAAATAAAACACAGAAAATCATACATTTGAAGTTCACATGGTTCAAGTAAATTATTTTGATAAAACATAAATACTTTGTACCAACGACCTTTATGATAAACAGCAATATGATGACTATCTGAAGAATGAACAAGTTTGTCTAAAAGAAAAAAGAAAAGCAATTCACAAATCATTATCAAAAATACATCATATTATATTGAATATACCTGCTTCTTTTCCAGGTATACGTGTTGTATCAAATTGTCGTTCATATTGACTTGAACACAGTGGAATTAAGTTTTGTACCATTAGCTATAAGTAAAATAAAGTTTATTGAAAGAAAAAAAAAATATATATATATATATATATTTATGATACATACTGGTTTAACATTTTGATGATCAAGTTCATTACGATAGTGAAATGCACCACAAACGGCATTAGCTGCACGTGCTGTTTGAATTTTTGTTGGACGAACATAAGCAGTATCCTTAACAAATAAAAAGACAAGTTATTAGCACAGTCGCTTTGAGATTGAAATATGAAATTCACAAGTGTTTTTTAGCCTCATTACATTAACAAAAAATACGTTAAGTGAGAAAATTTTGGCAGACTGTAGCTATTTTCCAGAGATAATCGATCACCAGAGAAACGGACTATCTTATTGATTTATGCATTTCGAATAAAAGTTTTTTCTCAGTTTTTGTTTACTTTTTTTGCTTTTTATTTTTCCATTCAGTTTTTTTTAATTTAAAATTATTATTATTGATTTAACTGGCAAATAAACCTGTTCTACATATCTATTATATCTCCAACAGGTTTCAAATTACTATTAAATATCTCGATAAGATCACAAACACTTACATTAATTATTTCCTAAATTTATAACTTAATCAATTTACGCTTTTTTTATGTTTAGCATTTCATGCTTATGACAAATCAATACTAACAAACATATTCCACCCATGCAAATGTCAAGGAAAACTTGAGAATATTCTGGAACATTCAAAGTCTTGTCGTTAATGCGATTTAGTGCATTTTGTCGTCGTTAGTGAACTTCCGGAAAAGAGTTGTAACGCCTCTTGTTCTCGGTGATTAAGGTATCTAATAAGAAACTGCATAACTTCAACATGAAATTTCTACTCAGTATTTTCTTTGAAAATATATGTGAATTTCACAAAAAATAAGAAGAAAAAATGTTCAATAATTATTAATTATATACATACAAGACCGTAGAAATTACTATTAACCATAATTGGTGATCGACCACGTAAATAAACGAACTTTTCCCACCAATCAGATACCTATGAGAAACAAAAACATGAATTTAATTCTATTAAATCATATTCAAATAATAATTTATTTACATAATTTGTTGAAATAAGCCATTTTAACCATAAATATCTTTGTAATTTTCTTCCAACTGTGTGTTTAAATTCCTCAGCTAATGATACCATACGTTGATATTCTTCATCATCACATAATGGACGAATTGTTCTTAAATATCTTCTTAATGTATCATCTAAACTTGGTAATGGTAATGTTGGTAATACACTTTGATATGAATATAATGATGGATTTCGACCAATTAATAATTTAACTAAACCTCCCCATAATTGTGTACCAAGTCCCACTTTTTTTCCATGTTCTTGATACATCCAACCATGATAAGAGAATAATCTTTTTAATGCAGATTGTCGAATTTGTACTAAAACTATATATGCACCAGTGCCAAATACAATATATGCAAGAATTTTTGAATTATCTGGTGCAAAATATCGTTTAAACACATGTACATCAATCCAATCAATTAAACCATATGATACATCATAATCTTTTATATGAAGACCATATATAACACCACACCAAGCAATACCACGAAGTGGATGTCCAGGATATATTGTATTATATAAAGAATTCATCGTACGACGACACCGAAGTTTCCATGACCGTAAACCCGAATATAGCAGAGCTTTGAATACATCATAGCTTAAATTAACACTTACACCTATTAGTCAAAAAGAAAAGAATACAATCTGTATAAAATATGAATTAGAAAAGTTCGAAATCAATACCTTCGGCACCAACTGTAAATTGAAAAGCAACAGCTTCGTGTGCTTCAGCCATGAGATTATTTTCTTTTCGTATATCGTTATGACTATATTAATATGATACGATTACTGAAAGTCAATCTAAAGTTAGAATATCTATTTTGTAATAGTTGTACTTTGACCTGTTGTTCTTGTTTTCAAGTTCGAAAGAATATATTCATGCGTAGTTACTATAGACGTTTACGTAAGCTGTTGTATGAAGGAAAAGAAAGAGAAAAAAAAAAGTCGATGGAAGGGCAAAAGAACGACAAATGCAGTTGCCCGACAAAAAGAAAATTGCGTTAATGGTGTTCAATGAGGTAAAGAATCGTGGTTTTTTTTCTTTCTATCTAAAAAAAAATGAATAGGCTTTTTTCTTGTAATATTTTATGATTAAAGTGCTGCTCACAATTTCACCATTTTCAACACACGCATATAATAAAGATAAGACTCATTATCTAATTACTCGTAATGTTAACTTGAAGGTGTTCATTCTTATAATTTTTTATATTATTTGTCATTTCTTTTTCTGTTTAAATATTAAAAAGTCACAACTCAATTAAATATCTTCTCTATGATATACTTAACGAGAAAAAACAATTTGATGTTTACATGAGAGAAGGTGAAAAAATGAATAAATTAAATAAGTTTGTGACAAACAAAAAGTATCTATATATATATTGATAGAAATACAAAAAAAGATTGAATAAGTTTTTTTGGTTCATTTCTTTGTTTTTTTGATATATTATGATGTTTTCGGATATTGTTGAGCAGGATTATAGTAAGCATTTTGAGGTGGATAACCACCATAAGGTTGTTGAGAAGCTAATGGTGGTGGAGTTGGCATGGATGTTGGTTGTATAAAAGATGGATTGATTGTTGCTGGTGATGAACTTGATGGTGGTGCTTGTGGTTGTTGTTGAATATATGCATTAGGAGGTGTATTAATATTAGGATTAAAAGTAGGAAATCCAAGTCGTTGTTGCATTAAAGCTTGTTGTTGACCATAAAAACCACCTTGTTGTGATGGTGGTGCTTGTTGTTGTTGACCTATAAATGTTGATGTTTGAGCAGTATTTGAAGATGGTGGTGGTGGTGGTGGTGCTGAACTAGAATTGAAAGCTGATGTTGTATTAGCATTTGGTAATGTTTGAGGAGGAAATGGTGTTGGAAACCGAGAAGTAGTACTAGCATTTGGTAAAGGTGGCATGCCAGAAAATGATGTTGGTGGAGGACCAAATAGTGATGATGATATTTTAGTTTGTTGATCATTAATTCCTGTTGGAACGAAATGTGGTGTTGGCATTTGTTGAAACGAAGTAGGTGATGGTTTGTTTGCATCAGTTGATTCTGAAGATTGATATTGATTTTGTTTATCAACTATTTAATAAAAAAACAAATAATTATAATAAATGATTTCATATTGATATTAAGATATTCTTTTATTCTTTTTTTCAAATAAAAAGGAAACCTGTTGGTATTGTTTGAAATGATTTTTGTTCATTATAAGCCGGTTTATTAGAATTTGAAGATTTCGATCGAATACTATCTGGAGTAGTTGAACGTTGACTTTGATGTAAATGTTTATATGGATCGAATTCACGTGCTGTACTTGAAACAAAAGCAGGCGTAGGAATTGTTGCTGTTGCTGTTGTTGTTACTTCTTTTTCTTGACCATTTGTTATATCTTGATTTGTTGATAATTGAAGTCGATCAAGTATTGTTTGTACGGAGTTTCGAATTTGTTGTAATTCATTTCGAAATGTTTTAGCATCAATTAAACTTCCTTCTTTATTAAGATTTCCTGCTGTTGAATTATTATTAGTTAATTGTTCATCACCATTAACTAATACAAATAGACGAAGCACTTTATGAAAATGTAATGCTACAGTTAAATCACTATCATTTAATAAAGTTATTTTGTCACCATCATCATCTAAATATTTTATTGTTAATTCATCGGAATTTGAAATTTTTCCAGCAAATATACGTTCCATCATAAGAACCAGTTCTAAACAATAAAATAAAAAAAAACACTTATTTTTTTTCTATATCATCGTATTCCTTTCTATAAAATAAATTTTATACAATTATTTACCATTTAATGTTAAATCTTCATTATGTATCATCATTTTACGAATATCATCACCTAATTGAGCTTTTATAATTAATTGACCAGAAAGTTTATCGCTACTTGGAGTTGTTGATAGTGGAGCATTCGTTGAACCATTCATTGTAAAATTAAGTATGACTCAAATTTATATTTAGATATGAAACGAATATGTTAGATAACTCACGCAATAGATGAATAAGAAATTTATTTAACTAGAATAATGATAATGACACTAGCCACGTTGATATTGGACTAGACATGGATAGGCTTTTTAGAAAGCCAATCAATATCATATCAATAATTAAATGTTTAATTTACAGGATACGAATATTTAATTGAATTTTAGTAATTTCGTATTTCAAAAAAACTTTATTTTGTTGCTAAAATTCTTATTTATGTCGGCAGATGTCTCCCATTCTCGGAGTTCGAAACTATTTGTTCTATGTACAATCGACATATAATGAAATATTTAACTGAAAAGTCATGTCTTATTCAATTATGGAAGATTTAAACAACAAGTCTGTCATTTTCAATGCACCATAAAAATATTAGTTCATAAATATGAGAAAATTTATCTATTTAAAAGCATAATTTATTTTACAAGAAGAAAATCTCTTATATATCATTTGCATTCTCTTGTATGCAAAACATATTTTACAAAAAAAAGAAGTTTAGAGTTAATTAATACGATAGACGGCAAAAGACTATTGAAGCAGGCGTTTTCAGAATGAAAAGCCAATTAGACGTTCAAATGTATGCCTACAAAAACGGAAATCATCATTCTGCCCATATGTGATCTCATAATTAGCTCGTGTGGTAAAATCACTACGTTTTACAAATCCACAGACAACGTTTGTATTAAAATACAATACTATACTATTGGCTAGATGATTGGTATGATCAGAATCGAAGAAATTTTTCACATTGTCATTGATGATCATATTTCGACTTTTTTTCTTTCGATTGACACTAAGTAAAGTCGAGTTCTTCTGACTAACAATGTTTTAACACCGTCGATTTGGAATACCCTGCACATAAAATGTCCTTGGAAGCTTAATTGAAATGGTACGTTTGTGACATGGAACAGAGTGTAACAATTTATTTGAACGAACTACAGTTGATCGTTTTGGGTGAAGAACACGTATTAGACGTGACGACTGAATCTCAGTTGATGTTCATACGTCGTCATCGTTGGTCAAGTCATTTAAATAGGCAAACCCATACGAAGCGTTGATACCAAATACTACCAATTGAAAATGGCGAATATAAAATCGCCATCAATAACAATATACAGTAATATCTCGTCGTACTTGAGCTATAGTTGAATCTGATATTGCTACTCTGAAAGAAATCTACGATTGTTCACATGCTGACTGTCATGGGTGTGTTCGTGTACTTGCATCAGAAATAGGCAGATGAATTACTAGGAGTAGAAAATTTGGAGTTTGTAAAAGTAGACAAACGACGCAGTGAATATTAAGATTGCTAGGAGAAAATTAGAATTTTCTATCTGTTCGGATACAAATCAACACTCCTTTGGTTTATTTTCTTTATCAAATACATTGTGTGTATCATACAACGAGAAAAGGCAGCATAATCGATCTAAATGAGAGAATAAATATCGAGAAAGAAATGAGTTCAACATAAATATATATATACAATCATTGATAAATCGACTTTGATTATAAAGTGATCAAATTGAAAAATTCTATTCGTAGAAAAACTACTCAACTTAACCACTGATTTGTTAACAACAGAGCCGATTGCATTATTATTCGCACTGCTTTCGATTGCTTGTCGCATTTCGTTGCATATATGCGATGGTTGATTTTGCGTTCAGATAAATCGTACTCAAATAAACTCTACAGATATTCACTACAATCATTTGATATTCTAGAGCGTAGTTGCGCTTGATTGTTAGTATGTGTCATTTTTTGTGCGTCAAAATTTTACGTCATGATTTTTGTACAAAAAAAGAGTTTGTACGAGTGCATGATTCACTTTTCTTCACACTTGAATTTTTGCTTCTTGAATCGAGAAGAAAATGAAGCTACCTTACATCTGTCAGTATGTTGACACAATGAATATCGTATGAGTGGCACCATAGATACTATGAGTGTGCGTCGCCATTTATTTTTAGTCTGAATAATTTAATTCTTCTTCTTCTTCTGACTTTTCTTTTTTCATCCACGACAAACGAAACCATCAATGGCATCTGAGTCAATTAGTACGAATAATAAGACCAACGTCATTGGTGATTGAAAAAAACTGGTAAATAAAAGAAAAAGGCGACGGTAGTGGAAGAACAGAACAATCGAGTGTTATTCTTTCTCTTTTCTTTCAAACATATATAAAGCAGCCAGCACACATTCGAATCAAACAAATTCTTCTGCTAGACAAAAACGCAAATTCATTTGATTACATTTCTCTTGCAACATGCCAGAAGGTACGCTTGAAGTTATTGTTGTCGAAGGCCGGGAATTGAAAGATCGTGATATTGTCGGCCAAAATGATGCCTACATCGAAATCTATACGGAGAAGAAGTACAAGCAACGTACAAAAACGATTTCCAATACGAATAATCCAGTGTGGAACGAGCGATTTACGTTTAATGTTCACAAGGGTGATGATACAATTCATTTTGATGTATATGATGCTGATGTCGTTGGCAAAGATGCGATAGGTAGTTGCAAAGTCAAATTGAAACATGTCTTTGACGATGGTAAATTCGACGAATGGGTTAAACTACCGGCAATGCTCGGTTTATCGTCAAATGGACAAATTCATATCATCATGAATTTTCGAGTAAGCAACACTTTTGTTTTTTTCACAAACGAACTAAATCTGTGTCTTCTCATTTTAGCCATCCTAAATCCATCTTGAACTAATCCATACGAATGACTCCGATTGTTTTTTTTTCGAATTGAGTTTGATTTTTTTTTTCTGTATCTATGGTAAGATTTTTTTTTGATACAGTTCATCAATAAATATATATACCAAGCATTGGGAGAAATATCTTAAAACTTTATCTAAATCATTGGACAGGTGTCTGCTATTAGAGCAGTCTTTCTTAAACTCGCATAGAGTCGTATAGCATGAAGGTGATTCAAGCATCCGTTGTCTACGAAGAACAAAACGTTTTGTACATCATATGGATGTGTTTTTAGTAGCCACAAGATGGATGGCATCGTATGGCACGGAGAACTTGGTAGTACTATTCGATACACAAGAATATCTTTCTTTCATAGAGTGTCCTGAAAGCTTTTAACAGGTCTTTCTTTGAATCTTTTTATATCTAACCATTTTCTGTATGTTTAATTTTTCACAAAATGGTCGCTTTATATGCTAGATACATGTTCCTTTAGAACCGAAAGGCTCAGAGAATTACACTTGCTAATAATAAATATATACCGAACAGAAACACATTTTGTATCGATGTAGAAACAGGCAATGAAAAGAATGAAGGTGAAGAAAACAACTAATCAATGTCATTTCTGTGAAGTATCGAATCCGCACAATCAAATACAAAGAAAAGAGAATGTGGCCCATTAAAATCCATCGTCTATTGATATGAAAGTATTATCTTTTCTGAATCTACTAGGTAAATAATATGATCATGTCATATGGCTGTGGAATTTATTTCTTTCTGTAAATAGAAAGTCCTTCGTCAAAGCTTCATTTTACCAGATATAAAAATACTATTGAATGGTAGACGTCCACTTCGACAAACAATTCAATTCCAAATGCATAAGAATATTAATGACTGTCTTAGAAAAATGGTGCGCTAATCAAAGTATTAACACTGATGAACCTGTTAAAATGCTGAAATGAAACTCTGCTTATCGTCTCCTTTTCTCACAATGCAATTTTTCTGAACGTTTTTGAATTGTGTTCATATTTAATTTATCTTTTTATATGAACACGAGACAGCTCATTCAATTTCTAATTCTGTATTGCAACTTGACGTCAACCATTTGTTAAGTGTCAGTTGTCTTTTATGATCTAGTTAGTTTTTTTGTACTTGTAGAGCAGACATCTTTCTTGGAAATTTTATTGATAAAAATAATACTGTCTGATTTTCCCATGTAACATTCAACTTTAAAGACATATGGATATGCAGTGATGTTTGTAACTTCGATGAACGTTTACATTTTATATTCTCTGCCTAATGATATTGCACACTTGACTAAAGATGCATCATCGATCACTAGAATGTCTAACATTTCATGATACGGTGTGGATATGGGTGTAGGTATCCGTGTTAGCATTATGAAGATTCTCACTCCGGCCCACACTACATTGATTCATACAGATACCCCACCACCCACGAACTCGTGGTAGAATTGGATTATCGAGTGAATAGTCGAGAGCCTACCATTTCTTTTCCTTTTTTTTTCTTAAATTCCAAAAAACACGTTACAGAAACACATCGTTTCCGAAGAAATTTGTTCCATGGATATTAGAGCGCGATGAACTGCTGCAATTATTACTTTAAATTATTTGACATAGATAGCTATTTCCATTAATTTACCAATAAATGAATCTTTGCTATTACAAATAGTATTATAATTAGTTTACATTCATTAAATATTGTTATTCTAGCTGATTCTAATGCAAAACACGATGATTTACGACATTTAACAATGAATTCAACAGGTGATCAACGTTTACCTTGGACCAAGGAGCCTCGCCTAGTATACCCATTTCCATCATGCAAAAAAATCACTTTATTCATCTGTCACAATTCACTTGATTAGTTCAAATTAACATATTTATATTGATAGTAGTACATTTTTCTCATATATCAGTAGCAATCATTATCCGATTTTTATTGCATATACAAAAATCAAATCGACAATTAAGCATGAGCAATAAAATTAAATAAATATACTGGCAAGTTTCTTGAGCCAAATTAAATGCATCATGGAAACTTCTCAAAGAATTGTATAAATCATACTAGATGAATTGCAACATCTATTATAATAAATCAAATTGTGATACATTATATAGACAGTAAACAACCAACTTCATTCAGATTTTACACCTGTCAGTTCGAATTTTCATCAGGTATACAATATTTTTAATAAAACCTTTATTTCAAAAGGAAGCAAGAAATTGATCTTACTTGTCTGAAGTCGTGAATTCAATTTTCACAAAATGAAATTAAACATTACAAAGCTCGGAAAGAGCATTTATTCTTATTTAATCTAGTATCCTCCATTACATCAATAGTCTAGTGCACAATCCAAATTACTAAACAACAAAATAATATTAATTATTTCAAATATTACTGATGATACTAGTATACATTTTCGCACAACCACTTAATCAATAATCTTATGTTTACAACAACATTTTATAGATCAGTTTTCTAGTTTTATTTCACAGCATGTAAATAGTACTGATCAAAAAGCAACTGCATTGTGGTATCAATTACTTCTTATAAACGACCAATCAATTAAACACTTTATGCAATACTGTGTTTCAAACTTTCTATTCAAGAACTCAAAACAATCATCGAATAAATTGTTAGTGAATCATAATTCTTCAAATTTAGATAGAATATCGAATGAAATGTGAAACTTATTTCAATAAAATATTACAAAGTCTTATTAAGTTTATATAATGAGTTATTCTCAGCAAAAAAAAGTGCGTGAACTAAAATGCTCATACTTCTTTTGCTTTAATGAAAGTCATAGTTCGTTGCCACTACCGTGATAATTGGAATCCGCTAATTAACTGTGTATTCTTAATAAAATAGAGAAAAAACTATTTTTATTTAAATCCAGCAAAAGGCTCATCAAGTAAAACATGCTCTCTCTTTAATAGCATAGTTCAAAAAGATACTGGACAACAGTGACACACGTTCAAAGTCTTCTACAATAAATTAAGCAACCAACAATATACAACAATGTCTTAAATGTAGAGTACATTGATTTTCTTCAAGTTGCTGATGACTAATAATAACAAAGTCTTTACTTAAATCCTCTTGCATTCGATGTTCACCAACGTAAATATATATTTGTAAAATTAAGAATTATTTGCTAGATAGAACTTGAGGATATTAATATCCATAGACATTTATCATCAAACATATACAGTAAATCAAAAATATTACAAAATAGTTGTTTCAGTAGTACAGTTTATATTATAAATAATAATGATCTATCACCTGTACTTTTAATGAATCCAGTCATTGATATTCCATTATTGAAGATCAGTCATTCATTATGTAGTGTTTCTGGTTACATCTTTCAAACAGCAACTGGTTGTTCTAGAAGCGAAAATTAAAAAAACAACTGTTGTCATTTTTTTAAATTGTAGTTCATCGTGACATAATGTAGTAAACTCAGTAAAATGTAAATCCACTATATATTATTCTGGTATTCAACCACCTAAATGCAATATAGTATATAAATTTCTATCAAATAGATAATCAAAATAATTTATAGATTTAGATTATAACACTCGGTACCAAACTTAGCTTCAACACTTTTATTACACGATGAATAGCAAAAGTGAAATCTACCCAAAATATCATCCATATTATGTATCGACAGTACTGTAAATTTTTATTCGTTGAAATATTTGTGACCACCTATCACTATGGTTTCGAATTTAAATGCTATTTGTAAAATTGAAAAGTGACAATGACTCTAACAGTTTCATTAAAAAATGTCTCCGAATTGAATGTTGCTTCTCTCATACATAAAATTTTCAACTATATGAGTATCTTCATTTTCCTACACTCTACTGTGGATTCTACCGTAGTTTTCAAACATTCCACATCAAAACTCGCATTCACACTTCAAAGACACATGAATGTCTCATCCACTTGTTGGCAGTTCAGGGAAACATCTAATGATATTTTATTGCAAAGCACAACCTCTTTTGGAAAGATAATTTGAATAACATTCTTAATGGTAAAATCAAACAATTAAAATGTTATTCGCAGTATAAACATTTAAAAGAAACTCAAAATGGGATTAAAATTGATTATTTTTGATAAATAATCTATTATAATGGCATTATTTTAATCTGATTTTTCAACTCTAGAGATGTGTGTCATTTGATTTTGATCTATTTTAATCGATTATGTAAATAAAAACAATTACAACTGATTATTCAAATACATTTTAATTGATTAAAGATAGCTAATCGGTTAAAAAAAGATTAAAATCAAACGAAATCTGTTTCTAGTGCTGAAAAATCTGATGAAAATCAGATAGAAATAGTGTCATTACAATAGATTTTAATTTGGTTTTGAGCCGGTTTTTAACATGAGTAGTATCTCGTACATCAAAAACATCTACTACAGCTCTTTAAATGAAAAAAAAAGTTTAAATGATTGATAGATGCATTAGATTTTTATATCGCACCATAAACAGAAATGATCTAGAAAGAGTTTTTTTAACCTTCCAGTGGTGTGACTAATGAATTAGATTTCTACTCATCAACTTCAAAAGTTTTTGATGAAGGTAATTATACCATAGAATGAATAGCTAATTTACTCGTGGTATAAGTATATACTTCTAAAAATAGCAGAATAATTACTAAATCTAAAGAAAAACAACAATAACAGTATACCGCCTTCTGCTTTTTTATCAAAAAAATTAGTATACCTTTGTTCTTACCAAGCATTTTTGTATAACTCTACTGATAAAAAATTACAGATGAAGAACAAGTTTTTTTTGATAGATCATCTGCTTATATTTCTTGATTTTGATAGGACAGCAGACCAAATAGATTCATACATCATCATCAAAATCTAGTAACCATATCTATAATACTATTTTTAAAAAAAACAGTTTTAGAGAACTATTCTTTTATACAATGACAACTAATACCACCATACCCACAATAACAGTCAATACTCAATCAACCGAAGAATTGATTGTTGCTTATTATTCGTTAATTTTGATCATTGTGGGAACTTTATTCAATATTATAACATTCATTATTCTTTGCCGATCAACATTTAGAAATACTAAAACAAGACCAACACTTCATTATATGCGTGCAATGGCCATCTTTGATATTCTAATGTTATATGGATGGAATCTCGATCATTATCTCACAAGCATATATCAGTTTCATATTCTACGCTATTCCATAATATCCTGCAGATTTATTTCATTTCTCAGCTATTTTTCACCTCAATCATCAGCTTGGCTTCGTGTCTTTGTCTCTCTTGATCGATACTTATCATTGAGTCGTCTTCATCGAACATGGTTCGGTCAATCGAAAAATGTTCTTATTATAATTGCTTGCATCATTGGTGTTCTTCTTCTTCTCAACTTTCATTTTTTTCTTTTTGTTTGCTATTATAGAACAAATGGTACAATTAGTGCTTTATCTTGGCTCTATGATATCTATCCACTATGGGATTATATTAATTTAGGAGTGTACAATTGTGTACCATTTGTATTGATGGTTATATTCAATTGTGGTGTGATTTATCATTTACTTCGTCTTAGAAGTACGACAAGCATTCAAAATTCTCGAATTCAACATCGATCTATTTCAATTACATTGGTCATTACAACATCTCTCTTTTTATTTATGACCGTACCGTCAACTGTAGCTTTTGCATTTTTTTCCTCATCAGATGTTGGTCTTTTACGATTCTTCGACTGTTTACTTTATTCACATCATATATTATCATTTCCGTTGTATATGATTACATTTGATGAATTTCGACAAGAATTTTTTGACATGCTTGCATGCAAGACAAATAATCGCAGAGTTACACCACAAGCACAAACTGGTACTGTAACACAGATATTCAATATAAGAAAACCTGTGACAAATACTTAAAAGCATTGTTTCATTCTTAATGCTTTTCATGATGAAATCAAACATTTCTTTATCGTACAAGTATATTTCTATGTAGTTTGCTTCTTGATGTACTAGTATTTCACTGCTTTATGTGTTTTTGTACCGTACGCTGCCATCAAAATCCATTGTAATGTTCGTAACTGACAGTTAGTGATCTTATGGAAAATGATCTCAAATTTAAATGTGTATTGTATTTATTGTTCAATAAAATATTAATAAATTAAGACTAATTTCAAGTCGCAAATAACAGAAGATATTGATTGTGACAATACTCACACGGAACATGTTGCTATACATGTTTGTTCGCAGGGTTGTAATCACTTCTATCAAGGTATTTACGATTTCGATAGCTGTCGACAAAAAATAATCATTTGTATTCTATACGATAGGTTTAGCCTTGTCGATCAACTTGCATCGATCGTTTGAAATTCTCGACTAAATCTGCAAAAAAACTGCCTTGCTCAATGAAAGAATTTGACCAATTAAAAATCATCACTTGTACTATAACCATCAACTAGCCAGTTGTTTCCACAAGAAATTTTTTTAATTACAATTCCACGAAAATATACAATGTAGAACTCGTGTAACCCTTGAAGTTTCTAATAGTAATTACTTATATTTTAGTCTATTCCATTCCATATATGCTAGAAGTAAGAATTGTTTCACTCTGAACTGTAAGACTTCTCAATTCATCTAAAAATAAAACTGTAGGTATGAAGTAAAAATAATCTACAAAGTTCAAGTTTAATAATAGTACCATTTCAAAATCTATTATATTATTGTTAAATAAGGCGTAACTATTACTAAGACTAAAGTTGATTATTTACTGTGACAAAACTTGATTGTAATTAAAAGTCACAGCATTCATAGTTGAGCCAATGAATATTGTTATTGTTCTGACACTAGATAACATACAACAAGAATGTTGACGTGTATATATTTAAATAGTTTGTAATCCATGATACTTCTCATTGCATATAGATCATTCAACAGTTAATAGAGATCATGGCATACTCCAATTTCCAAAAAATTCAAAATTTCCACATCATTTTATAATGGATAATGCAACACTAAGCGATACCAGTTCAAGTACCTAAATTCAATATCGCGACATGTAACTAAAATCTATTTTTAGATGAATAATTGAAGAAATACAATTCTTACTTTGGCATTAGATTAGGCCAGGGATTTTTTTTTACAAGAAAAGCATACCAGATGGAAATGAATTTTCGTACTTAACTTAACCCACCCCAATCCAAAATTACACGTCAGTATCCGACATGAGTCAAATTTTTGTGACCCAATTCGAACTTTGATATCGATCACTTTTCTATTTCACTTACATCTGAAGTCAATAAAGAAAAGTTGGTAAAGTAGCATAAAAGATCGTTTGATACATAACTTCTTGTTCTACTTATCTTTTCAGCACTCTCTTATAAAACATTTACATGAAAAAACATCCAGAATGTTTTTCGTTTCTGTAAAATATTCAGACTACAGTTCCATATCGAAATTCAAAAATTATTGTGTGACCCAAATCGAATACTGCTATAAACATAGTTTCTATATTTGTTTGATAGCATAGCCGATCTCATGCATTTATGTCCACAGTCATTTTATTTGGATTTTTCAAAAATAAGAATTTACCATTTAATGTGTTAAGATTCTTGCTCCATGTCACGAAATATGTACTGTATTACTAACGATTGTTAACAAACTCGATAATTTCGATGTACTATATTCATTCGTAGGAGTCAATCAAAAATTTGATGAATTAGTCTTTGATATGACTTTAGCACAATCTATTGATTTAGTGACATTGTCATCAAATAAAGATATGAAATCCAAAATTGATTCAATACTTAGTTAATTCTGTTTTTATATAATATCTCGAATTTAACACAATGTGGAAAGCTTCACTGTTGATCTAATGTCAACAGTTCATACTTATTGCACTAGCAATTAGTCTGAACTGCACATTATGATCTCAGATCACTGAAGAAAAAACATTGCCAACAAATCTAGGGTGTGGCTGTGAGTTATCTTTTTTAACCCACGCTTGATATTGTGAAGAAGAAAACAAACACAAATAATCAGAAACAATAATACAACTTGGGTTAATAGTTAAGAAACAAAAAGAGAAAACCAATACAGACAAATTACACGAGATCAAAAACAAAACGTAGAAAATAGAATTATCTTATCGTAGTGGTGGTGGAGGAGGTGGAGGAGGTGCTCTTGGCAATGGAGGTGTAAATGCAAGATTATTATTTTGATAATATTGTTGTTGATATGCATTTTGATAATACATAGCAGCATTATATTGATTCCATTGTTGCTGATTAGAATAATTTTGTTGTTGTTGAGAATTTGGCCATGATATTTGTGAAGCACTATTATTTGAATTTCCTCCATTTGTCATTAAAGCTGGAATATGTTGAGCTCGATAAGAATCACGTTCAATATATGATGGATAATTGTTATTTCGATTTGTTCCTCGTAAAAGATGATAACCATCGAATACATCGCTATTATTATAACGAGGACCTGTTGAACTAAATGATGTATTGGATTGATTCGCTGGATTATTGAGTGGACTATTATTATTATTATTTTGATTAAATGACATTAATGAAGGAGAATTCTAAAAACGAAAGATAATGAAGAATTCAAATATAATTTACTAATCTCTCTAATTATTCTTAATTCTAAAAAATCATATGTTGTACAAATTAGAACTTCTGTAGTTTTTTATTAAAATAAAAAAAGTAAGTAGGATTATCCTCAATTTTTAAGTTAATTGAATATTCGATCATAAGATAGATTTGAATAGAAAGTTACTGTTAAGATAATAAAATATATAACGTGTGATTCATAAATCATAGGATGCTTTGATTTTCTGTTTTTCAATAACGAAATCACTCTTAAAAAACATTATTCTAAGCTTATTCGATGGAGACTTCTTCACTATAGAAAAATGTATTCTACGTTTTTTAAATAAAATATTCTTGTCGAAAAAAAGTTGGTAAAGATCGAACGCTGTTTTATCGTCTCATTGTGATCTTCTGCTGTTTTCTGCCGACATCTAACGATTTTTTTAAGTTTATGCTCATTGTAAATGACTTAGCATTAATAGATAAAGCATTTTATGATCTATGCTTTCAAGATTATTTTAAGGCTTGCAAAGACGTTATTCATGTACAAAAGCTTGAAACTAACATCTGGTGATATTTTATATTGAATACGCTTTCGAAACTCCTGTCTTCAAATATTAATATGCTCTATGAATGGTTTATTATTATGTCATCAATGCGGAATTTAATTTTGAACAAACTGATGTAATTTTTTTCGAAAATTACCCAAACATCGCAAGATGAACCATTTCATGACATATCTTACAGTATATTTCGAATTTTAGCGGAACTATTATTCAAACGTATGTATCATAATTGCAACAAAAAATTCTTTAACGAATGAAATTAGAATGATGTCTTCAAAGTACCCCATTCTTTATAAGCTACCTAGAATAACAAATATTGTATATTTGTGATGATATAAATTCTAATGCTTCTTTTTTGAAATTGACTAGAGACATATAGTTAAATTTATTAATAATGATAATCTTATCCTTACATAATTGCTGTTTGTATTCATTGAACCATTGCTATTAAATGAAACTGTACCAACTGTTGTAGTATTTCTATTACTATCTGTTGTTGATGAAGATGTTCCACCTGCAATAGCTAATGTAGGTCCAGTTGTTTTAGATCCAGTCATTAAATTTCGTTGATCATCTAACGATAAAGTATTTGTATTTGTATTTTTTTTACCCATTAATTCATTCATTAATGATTGATACTAAAATATAGAAATAAAAATACTTATAAAATATTTTTTTTGTTTATTCTATCATAAAACTAACTTCACAATCAAGTTTTTGTTGTTCTTGTCGATTTCCACTGATTGAAAGTGAAGCATCAGAATTTAAGTCAGAATAAGTACCATCCGGCTTTTTACGGAATTTACAATCAGTTGTTAAGTGACCAGCTCCACCACAAATTGTACATATTATTGTATTTGTAACGATTTTTTCTGCTTCATTCATCAAATTTAGTTTACTATTAAAAACAAATGAAATATCAAAAATGATTTAATTGAAATAAATAAAAACTTACATAAGACAATCATTTTCACGCAATGTTCCATTAAGTAAAGCTAATTGTCGAAGTTGTTGTTTACGTAATTCATTTAATCCTTCTGGTGCATCAATGCTTTTACTTATTATTTCTTGAACCTGAAATATCAATTTTTTTTTCTTTTAGATTTATCGAACAACTTTTTTTTTTTTGTATTCACTTTTTCTACAGCTTTCGCAACGACTTCAAGGGAGCTACCAGTAATATAAGCATGTAATGGTTCATCTTCACCGGGCAATGGACCATGTTTGACTATACCCATTTTCCCATCTTTTACAGATCCTTTGCCTTGAAAAGAAAACCGTACTAGTTATAACTGAAAATCTATAGACAATACAATATATACCTCGAATAATAATTTTTGCATTAGTCTAAATGTATCCGAAATAGTTTATATAAAGGAACAAATGAATAAACATACCTCTTTTTCTAACATTTTAAGTGTATTACCACGTGGTCCAATGATTAAACCAACAAAATTTACATCTGGATGATCTTCTTGTGGAATCATTACTTTATCCGTATATTTCATTTGTTGAGGTCTAAAGAAATTTCATGTTAATAAGATAAAAATATCTCATCTATGATAAATATGTAACAAAATTCTAAGAATAATATCATATGACTTTCATCAAATAAATAATTTATCAATTAAACGATACTAACTTATAATCTCCTGGAGGTTTATAATCTGGATTCAGTGCAATTAATTCTGTAATAAATTGATGACGTTGATCTTCAATTTTACGTCTTGTACGAACTTCACGAGTATTTTGTCGTTTT